TCTTTCATACAAGATTTTTTTTATTCTCTTTTCTAAAATAAATTTTGTTTCCCTCCCCACACCCCACTGCACATATAGATATTAGTGCACAAAAAATAAAATAATTATTTATTACAGTATAATTGATTAAACAAGTACAATGATCATTTATTGTGTAATTATTAAGAAATGTATCTTTTCATTGTGTGATAATGTACGTTTTAGCCCAAAGATAAAAAATATAATTATTAATTATGCTAAATTCATTGTAATGATAATATAATGAAAATTATACAATAAAATATAATACTTATATTAATTATCACTTACATTCTTACCAATATATAAACCAATAAATAAAATTGAACACAATGTAATCAAATAGTAGTTAATTACAAATAATGATTAGTATATTAGCTTGATTACTTAAAAGTAATATTCTGCCTCTTTTAGTCTTTCAAAAGAAATAGGGAAATAATTAAGAATGGAAAAATCCCTACAACATTATTCATGCCTATGCATCCTATTTTGTAAGTAAATTGATCTGAACTGTGTATGAATTTCATGCTGATTGTGGCTATGGCGGTCAAGCTACTCTTGTAAATATGCACTTGATTCATTTCTCATTAATTAGAAAAAATTTCAATGATACAAGCAAGCACATCATACTTGATAACCCTACAATAAGAGCAAGTTCTTTTATTTTATAACTTATTTCCAGTTATAATATAAAATGAGAACTTTCATATAACTTATAAATTTGGCCCCATCAGCTGTATAATAATGAAGGAAATTGTACTCAGTTTGATGCTAAATCTGCAAACTTGCACTTTTTAGATATATTATTTTTTAAAGTTTATCCTTCTCAAAAAAAACTTCTGAGCAGATACCATTATTCAGCATATAAGAATGACTAACTTATTTACATATAAGGAATTACTCGTAAATGAAATTAATAATAATTTATTGTTTAATAAAAGGAAATATGTATGTATAAAAATTTCCTGCTTTACATTATACATTTTAGAATATCTTAATCTGAGTATTGATTTAATTAAATTAACAGTACTAATTTAAACTTTTACAATGAATTTTATTTTTCTTAGCTATTGAAAAATAATAAAACATTTTTATGCAATTAAACTTAATATCCAGAATTGAATTAACAATTTACCTATTGATAATCTACTAAGCTTTAATAACTAGTGTTTACTGATCAAATTTTCTTTTCCCAGTACTAGTTAAATGAATTATGATTTCATTCATGTAGATAATATGTAAAATAACATTCTGAAACATGAAAACCATCCTAACTATGCATATTAAATTCAATTTGCAAAATTTATTTAAAATTAAGGAAATAAACACTTATTTGATTAATAAAATTTAGCTGACATTATGTACAATCTGCCTTAATTTAATAGTTAATGTGCTAATATTTATCTTAGTTTATCATATTTAAACATAAGTTTTTCTAGCACTTAAGTATAATTCCATCGACCATGAAACCGTTGCCAAGCAAAATGATTTAGTACCAATTTTAGATAAGCGTGATATAACAACACACTCCTAACATCTGCTTTCATTTCATGCAACCCCAATTGATTAACAATGAGTCATGTTTTGTTTTCACAAACAAGGATATAAATTAACTGTTGCTGTTATCAGGGTTGCCACTCAAACAGGAGAATGAAATTCCCTGACTTTTCCAGGTATGTTTCGAGAAAATTCCAGTCTATCCGCGTAATGTACGTTGGCTGTGCTAAGATGTATTTTAATTATGGTATTACTTGTATTGTGTAGCATATTCACTTAATTATTCAATAAATCCCAGAGGATATTTATTCTAAATTATTCTTGGTACACTTTGTTTACTTTTCCACTTAAGAAACGTAATAAAAATTAAGATATATACATTGGATAACAATTGTACGTTTTATTTAATTATTGCTCATTATCATCACCAGTTCAAAACGAGGCTAATCCGGTTTTTATAAATCACAACACAATGCTTAATAGTTAGGTTAGATTTTAGGTAAATTTAATTTGTGTGAGGTGTCTTCTTAAAAGGCACCTTAACACTTGAAAACACGAATATAATTATAATAGGAGTTGTTTTCTCCACTGAAGATTGAGATTAGAATCTGCCCAATCTGGAATAAAATAAGGCTTTTTTTGCAGACATTCTGCAGCTAAACGAAAGAAGGAAATCTATTTAATGATATTTTTTTAATAAATTGAGGTATTTTACATTTATTTCGCAGCATACATAAGGAAAAAATATGTGCATTAAATTTCGTGATGGTATGTCATCATACTGCTAGAATTAATTTCAGGATTGTGCCAGAGAAAATTTCCTGAAATTTGGAAATATTATTTACTAATAAATAAATTTAGAGAGAAGAAGCAACATTAAATGATATGAATAACATAAAAATAAAGATAATTACTTAAAAATTGAATTAGAATAATCAACGATATTTTAGCGAATATTATATATAATTAGTTATATTACATGGTTAGCCTAGATGACTGATTACTATAAAATATTGAGTCTCAGTCATATTATTATATGACTGATTACTATATACTTTTTATTTTACTGCAAAATGACAAGGTATTTATTAGAAAGAAAAAAAAAAAAAAGGTTTAAAAAAGATTTTGCGGTAAAATCCTAGTACTATACGGTACGGCTTTCCCACGATTTTGAAAATTGTCGCCAAGAGCAAAATGACCCGTTTACTGCTCATCATCAAGTCGCCAAAGCCCGCTGTACCATACATGGATATTATTCTAACCAAAGGAAGTCCAGTATGTAAAGAAGAAAAAGTTCCATACAATAAATGCTATTACGCCGCTAAAAGCGGAGGGAAAATTTGTCAGGGATTTGGCGACGGAACCTGGCGGCCAGAATTTCCCTCTCCGCGATGTATACAGAAATTGAGAAACACGTGTTAAAAGAAACGTTCTTTGACAAAAAAGAAAACTACGAAAATCATTTTTAAATTATTGCGAAAAATCCAATAAGAAACGTTTTATCAAAGAACGTTTTTTCTCGGATTTTTTCGCAATAATTTTAAAAACGAATTTCGTAGTGTTTTTTTTTTTTTTTCCCTAAATAACTAATCTATGAATTAATTTACTTGGGCGCCAAAAAATTTTCTTTCCTTTAGAGTTTAAGAAAAATTTCAAACGATATTCTTTTATGAACTCTTGATAACGTGACCTTCGAATTTCGACAAACCGGTTCGAGCTTTGGCGACAGATATATCGCGCATCCTTCTTTACAATACATATTCTTTGATTCTAACATTCATGGTACCGTATACTAGGATTAAACCCATTTTGTTTTATACGAGAACAGGTACTTTCTTTAGTTCATGCACTGCACATGCGATTCTCGAGGTTACTGGAAACCAAAAGTTGCGTGAAACTTGCTTTGCCTTTCTAAAAGACAATCAAATTGAAGCTGCGAAAATTGGCTCTATGCCAGCTGCACGAATGACACTCACGTGATACACAATTCGCCAAAAAAGTGATCTCTTCCGACGTCGCCGCAAAACTCGCCTTTTTTGACGGGATCGTTGTATGAAATTCCCTGACTTTTCCCTGAATTTTTTGGTCAATTTCGGAATTCTCTAACTTTTTCCGGTTTTCCCGGTAGCGTGGCAACCCTGTGTTATATTTTTTCTTGCATTTTGAAAATAAAAAATGATTAAATTTTGGGACAGCAAACAGTAGATAATTTTCAAAGTTATGGGATATTAGCATTAGAAAAAAAGTATATATTACTGGGCAGAATATGGCTGACAAAACAGTAACAAATTGGAACAATTATCTGCAGGAAGTTTGTACTCATAAAGTACACTCTAAACAGAGCTTCTGGTAAAATCGAGATAATAACAAATAGTAGAAATTGACAAATGTCATTTTGTGAAGCAGGTACAACACTGATTCTTTATTAAACAAAGTATCAGTTCCTTCAGAATTCTTCAAGAATGATTGGCATAACTTTGACAGAATTTTTTGTGGTTCGATGGTTGTCAGCTTTCACAGTCAACTGGATAATACGCAAGTACTATTTTACTATTCAACCTTATTTTTTTTTTCCTTCACTACACAATCTTCAAAATGTGCAATACAGTCAAAAGGCTTTAATCCGTACATCCGGAATGATCTATAATCCGAACCTCAAAGCAACAAACTTTCTGCGCATGCATCAACGCATGCGCGTAATACCTTTCGCATGCTCATATGCGTCCACGCATGCACATAATATGTTTACGCATGCGCGTTTAATGTATTACGGACAGTATAAGCTAAGCTAAAATTATCTAATTATCTATTTCAGTTAATGTTGCAGATTGCGTTGTTCCATAATCTTCTAATTGGATCTGGCTTATTATTTTTTGCAGACTGTTAGAGCAATTTTATAAAAGTAAGCTTGAACTTTCGATTATGTCAAAAAGAATTTCCGATTCCGGAGCTACCAAAGGATCTACAAAGCGAAAGCATGTTTCGATGTCCATCAAACAAAAAGTGGAATTGCTACAAAAAATGGATAAAGGCATATCCTTTGTTTATCTAACTGTTCCGAAATCTGTTTATCAATTTCACGCTGCTCTGCATGGGGGGGGGGGAATCGTCGCAGTGCGCAATGTACTGGAAGTTGATCTGTCAGCACTATCCTTATCTTCAGGGCAGATGTTTTTATTTTATTCAGCTTATAATTCCTTACTAAATGTAGTATTTCATCTCGTACTCTGTCTTTGATATGATTTAAATCAAATTCCTCGTCATTATAAATATCACGAATACACATCAAATAGTTTTTTGGTTGCAATTTTTTAATTTTGACTATGCGTAACGTATGCTTTACGCATGCACGCGTTGAAAGAATGTTTTAATAAAAGTAAAACAATAAATATAAAGCTTTTTTTTTTTTTTTTTTGTAAAATTTGATACCCTTTACTTCATAATGCTCTTTTATTTCAAAAATTACGGTTTCATATTTTAATTTTATAATTTCTGCATGCCATCTTACCAGATTTAAACTGATGATCTATAATCCAGAAAAAACCGATAATCCGGAATCGCCAAAGTCCCGACGAGTCTGGATTAAAGACTTTTGACTGTATAATGTCCACACAAGTCTTCTAAAATTCTTAAGTGTGACAACAAAAATAATAAAAAAATAAGCTCTATTATCCCATATAATGGGAATATTAAAATGCACCACATAAGTGACAACTATAAAATATAAAAATTTCTGCCATGGTACTGGAATGTTTTTTCTTAATCCCATTCGCTAGGTGGTAAGAGGCATTCCAATTCTGTTTTCCTTTTTTCTTTTCGTTTTTGAAAAAATTCTTTCAAAGACCTCGTTTTGTGTTCCATTACCTCTATAAAAGGGGGGGAAAAGTTATTTCTCAATAAGTCAAACTAACAAATAAAAAGTACATGAACAGTAACATATAATTTTGAAAGTTGTTTTGAGGTAAATTATACTGTATAGTTAATTCTCAAGGCCTTCTGGGAACATTTTAATATTTTCCATTGCTTAACACTCATTAGCAAAGACTAGGAGCAAGTGACTTGCAAACTTTGGCCTGTGAAAATTACAAACAGATTAGGTTGCAGGCAATGATCTTTTTTTTGATACTTAGTACTTTCTTTTCTTTTTCTATTTTATGCTGTTGCGTATTTAAGCAAAATTATGCTTAGGAAGTTAAAAATGAAGATGTGAGAAGTTATTAAACTATCCAAAGTAAGGTAAGAGAAATGAGCTCTATAAAAAAGAACTATAACAACTAAAGACACAGTTTTCATTTTGATCAAACAGTATGATTCAAATAAATGTGACTTGCAAACTTACCCATAAGATCATTACCTTAGTTTTATATAATCCTGATTAATCTTCAATAAGCCAGTTTAGTTTTTGTACAACAGGATATAAATTAACTGTACGCTGACAGCCAGACATTTTAATAAATTTGTTTGTCAGATAATCTCAAGGCATGAAGTCATATATTTCTTTTTTTATGTGCTATATGTAACTTGTACCACCTGTTGATTATCCAACTAAATTAAGAACAGTATTTTCCTTCAACACTCTACTAGAATCACTGCCACAAGTTTGATGTGATTCTCAGCCAACTTTCATAATCGAAGGAAAAATATTTTTCAGCAAACTACTACAAATAAGATATTTGAAAAACATAAAATTAATTTTTTATACAACTCTTGTTTTTCTCTAAAACGACAGAGAAATTTATGACTTATAAGTTTTCTCCATTTACATTTATTCTGTTTTTTATAGTCTGAATCTAATGATTTTTCTTTTACCTAAAATTAATAAAACTCTTAAAATTTGCACAAACTCAGTTGTATGCAGATTTATGGCTTGCTATGTTACGCTTTCTAGAAAATCAACACTGATTTCTCAAATATTAGTGTCTTATTAATTCAACTACTATTTCATATTACTTATTCTAATTTATACTTATTTATTTTTATTTAGTATTACTGGCTAACTGAAGAGAATTTTTATGTGTGGTTATTCTAGTTATGAGCAAAGGTGTTTTACATATTTGTAGAACAATTTCAGGGCAATTTAATTAAAGCTTAAAATGTAAAGATTTTTTTTTTTTTTTTTTTTTTTTTTTTTTTTTTTTTTAATCTGATAATCTGATCTGATTTTTGATTTCTGGAGTACAAGTCTATGTGATTTCCATGATAGAAGGGCTTTTCATAAGATCTGCAGGGATACTGATTTCCATTCCTCTTCCACTGCTTTCCAGATTCCACCCATTGTAGTGAATTTGCATTTAGATAGAACTCTTTCCAAGAGACCAAAGGCATAATAGTTCTTAAGAGAAATATCAAGGGACTTTGCAGGAATACATTGACATCATATATATGCAATACCTGTATCAGTCTTGACTCATGAAATCTGCACAATTTAAGTTTCATTAATTTGGTAAATTTCATTTATTGCTCAAAAATACTTTCCTCAATAAAGGCTAAGATGAATTGGCCAATCTATAAGAAATTTTGGTTGATTACACTTCGTAATCCATGTATACTAACATCTAAATACTAAGATTTTTAACTGACACTTTCAAATAATACTAATATGTTGAATTACCATATTTGAAGGCATATAAGACGCACCTTTATGTAGACAACCACACACAAGGAAAAAAAGTTTCAATAGCGTGGTTTCTTTTAGTTCTCACGTTTCATAAAAGCCAAATAAAAAATTATTGAATGCAATTACCTTCACGTATAAGACGCAGGTAACTTTTTTGAGACCAAATTTAGGGAAAAAAAGTGCGTCTTATACGCCGCCAAATACGGTAATCACTAAATAATTACTTTTAATATAAACTAAAAATAAACAAATAATAAAAACTTTTCCTGAGAGACAAAACTTGAGAATGAACAATGACAACTTATTCTCAGTCCATATCTCTAACGTTGCTTATTTTAAATTATCATTTAATGAAATGCAATAATTAATGTCATTCCCCCCCCCTAGCTTCTTTTGCATGTCATGCCTGTCAGAGCACTGTAGTATGCTTTACATATGATTTTTGGTTCTGTGCCAAAAGTAGTTTTAAACTCAGAATGTAATGACTGATACTGCTTTCTAGTCTCTTAATAAACACCATACTATAATCAACTGTGCAATAAATTTATGCTATATCTAAATCTATAAGCACATTATTAATAACAAATACATAAATGAAGTGTATTTGTGGGCTGTGTGCGGCCTGCAGGTCATTAGTTTGAGACCACTGCCTAAACACATGTTAAAAAAAAATCTGAAAACTTTTGACATTTTATATTATGCCAAAAGTTTTTTTTTTTTTTTTTTTTTTTTTTAATTCTTCCCACGTTTTGTGTGTTACCTTTATTTATTAAATATCATGTTCTTTGCACTTAAACCATAAAATTTAATTCAACAGCAATACCACAAAATAATTTTAAAAGAGCACACCTTCAGAATTTCCAATACACAGTTAATACCGCAGATAATTCAAGTTCCAAACTCCACACCCCCCCACTTTTTTTCCCATCCGTAGATTGCTGCCATTGCTCGCTTTGAAATCGTTGAGTTTGTTAATCAAAAATTCATTTAAAGTTTTACAAAATATGAAATAGATAATAAAACAAATTCCCAATTTGGGCTTCCAGATGCCCATATTCAAGTGGAGGACTACGCTATTCGAAATTTAATGTCTTTAGGTACCATTGTTTTTTCAAAGTGCAAGAAACATGCAGATTCTTCATTATTTAATTTCTTTGAATATAATGCAGGGCTCTAATATTTGATGGCAATGACATTTATAGTAAACCAATGTAAAATGAAAAACAAAATTAAAAGCCCTTCTGGACAAACTGCCCCTTTGAGCTAAAAAAAAGATTTAAGATTCTATAGTCATACCACCATAGACAAAATTTATCACAACTTGAAAAAATACTTTGAAAATTAAGGAAACAAAGTTCATAAATTCAAAAATTTATGTCAAGAGAGATTGGAGTGTAAAATGATAAAATACATGAATCTAAATGAGCCTACTGTTGCCTTCTTCCCATCCTGTTCATCAACAACTGAGCTGAATTATTTACTATGTAGAACACGTTTGCAAAGAACTTTTAAGCCCTGTGAGTAGCATGATCACTTTTATCTGGTTATAAAATACTCTGTCATTGTTATTTAAAATATTTTGTTTTCTTACCTTAACAATCATTCTTGGTTTTCTTATCTTAACCATTAGCATGTTTGCTATTCAATTTTTTTTTATTTTTTTCTTATCTTCTTCATTAGGTAATATTTAGGTCAAATCACCTAAATGTTATTCTAGTAAATGGAAGGTTTTGAAAATAATGGATAAAATAAGCAACTATAGAAATCCAGCTAATATATGTTATTTAAATACAACTTATCATAAGTAAACAGCTACATCACTCTCAGGTTTCAGTAAAACAGCCTATATTTACACTTCATATGAGAAAAAACATGCTCAGTTAGCCTGTTTCCACTACTAGTTACAGAAACCTGCATTTTGTGATTTAACCCTTTGAAGGGCACATTGAGTTTTCCAGCATTTAATGAAATTATTTGATAACTATTATTGAGCTCCATAAATGTGAAATATATTGTAAAAAAAATGTTGCACACATTGGGAGGGAGGTGGGTGGTGATTTAGGAGTGAAAACCACTGCCCATAGCATGAAATCTGTAAATTTGTTAGATATTTTTTACAGCAAAATATTACATATACATATAATTAGTAATGGTTTCATTGTCAAATATTAACAAAAAATATAATTTGGAAAAATTAATTTAAAAATATAATACAAATAATACTATTTATTCTGATCTTATTTCAGGAGGAAATTTCGTATGATGTTATTTTAAATGTATAAATACACCAAATAAATGCTAAAAATATAAAATTTATAACATTCTATCTTTGTATTTTCAATAAAAACAGTATGTAGAAATTAATTAATGTTATTACTCATATATTCACATTTTTTGCAAATTATGACACTTTTGAAAGCATGTGATGCCTTTCTGATAATTACATAATAGTTCCCCCTCGTGTGCTGCAGAAGGCGCATCTCCATACAGGGCTTAATTTCTAAGATGATAAAGATTACTAGCTAGGACTTTAGCAATGTACATGGATAAAGTCAAGAGTGTGCGCAATGCCATTTTCGTGCAATTCTGGAATGTTTTTTTCAAGTGAAAATAGGTCCACGTGTACATGGATACCATGTATGTTCAATTCTTAAAAATGCGGCAAGCAGTGGGCGATTTTGCACTTTCTCCCAATTTCGCACCTAATCTTCGTCATGATTAAGCACTTTTGTTCCATAAAAGTTCTAGCATAAGCGTAATTCGGCTAGCAGATTGTTGGAAAAAAAATGTTGAGTAAAAAAAAAACATGCCTTTACTTTGTGAAAACAAAATGGCGTCCAAAAAAAAAAAAACTAGTAGGTTGCTGTAGCAGGGTTGGTCGCCAAATTTTTGCCAAAAAATCGCCAAGTTACCATAATCCGAAGATTAACCCCCTAATGTACCCTTTAAATATATTCTATAAAGATATCCTTCTCTTTTAGACTGATAATTCAGAAGTATTAATATAACATAATAACTATGATATTTGCTCTGCCAATAGCCTGAAAAGATACTGTTCCAGACACAAAATTAAAATATACTGAGAATCAGCATTTTTATGGTCATTCATTGATCACTTATAAGTATTCTAACATTAAATGCTACTTCTTTTGTTTACATCTTACATTAGTTTAATCTTGCGAAGAAATTTGAAGACCATGCCATTTTTATCAACATTAAAATAATGCAGACATTTCTAGATACAATTTTTTAGATATCCCTCAAGAATGTGACCAAAATTTCAGATGCTTAACGACTTAGAGATTAAATTAACCCATTATCCACCTACATACAAAATTTTGAGTGAATATATCAATTGGTAATCATGTTATTTAATAGGAAAGACAAAATATACTGAGAATCAGCATTTTTATGGTCATTCATTGATTGCTTAGAAGTATTCTAACTTTACTACTTCTTTTGCTTGCATCTTACATTAGTTTAATCCAGCGCCGAAATTTGAAGAACATGCCACTTTCACCAGCATTTAAAAAAATGCAGACATTTCTAGTTGCAGTTTTTTAGATACCCTTTAAGAATATGACCAAAATTTCAGATGCTTGATGATTTAGCAATTAAATGAACTCATTATCCGCCTGTATAAAAAATTTTAAGTGAATATATCAATTGAGATTATGTTATTTAATAGCAGAGATCCAAAAAATTTTATACATACCAAGTAGATGCCATAGCTTACAGGAAGATACAGTTCTCTCATGAAACAAAACTGTAACTAGAATAATTTTAATAATTCTTTAGACATCACTATTATCGCGTATTATCATAATTTAATGCTGTTTTTGAATACTCTAAGAAAGTAAATTTCCAACTCATCTGAACTATATGGTGTACTGTATTTCTTTCGAATTTTTTTTTTTTTTTTTTTTAAGCCAAAACATGATCAAAGCATTATTATTCCCAATTAAAATAAACTCACCTCTGAAAGGTACTCTCTCATCAAACTTTGGCAAAGTTACACCAGGCATTTCTGATCCACGATAATTTTTCCACATACGGGACTGTGCAACGGCCAGAAAAAGTATCACACACATAAATGTTAACGTCATGGTCGCCCATACTGCATCTTTGGATCTCGTAAGAGTATGATGAATTTTAAACAGAATGTGAGGTGGTTTTTGAGTATTATTTAATGACTGTGCATTTTCTGCAATTAAAACGTTCTTTCCTTTCCCTGAATGTTTTTCGGGAAAACTTTTAACAGATTTATTAGTTTCGTATGGTTTTGGTAGAGACACTGTCTTATCTTGCTTAGAATTTTTCGTTGAATTCGAGTATGTAATTCCTTCCTGATCTTTCAATTTTTTTGAAATAGCAGTTTGTTTAGGTATATGAGACTCATCCTTATGTAACGTTACATTACTAAAGGACGCACATACCGCCACAGGAACTGCACAACAAGCTATCAACAAAAATTGATACATTTGCCCTTAAAAAACAAAATATACAAAAAGACAAACTGTGTGCAAACTATAGCACCTGAACATATTATGCAAAACATACATTATCGATTTATTATCTCTGGTAATTCATCCATGCGAAGAGAAAGCAATTACACCTGCTACCTGGTAAAGAGGCCATGCTGACGTTTCTGAAGCAGTATACCAGCACGTGGTCTGACCGAAGTAAACAAACCAGAAATCGGAGCGCCATCATCGATGTTGTTGTTGTTTTGTCTATGCATTTCATGGAAGAATAGGTACCAAAGCCTCAAAGAGGTTGGACCAAAGAAAAATACATATTCTTTGCTTGGACGCTTCTTCAATCACAATTTTGCGGCAAAGCACCCCGGGGGGGATCCAAGAGTCTCCCACACCTCTCCCCTAACATCATACCACACAAGAGGACTTTCGGTTCGCCATATATTGGCTTCTAAATCAGAGCCCGGGCACTTCGGTATCCAAATAGGCTCCCCTAACAACTGTACCATCTGGGTCCGCCACCATCGATAAAAAGACTATTTCATACCAAATAAACGCTGCGATTAAAAAGAGGATACTGCCATAAAGTTTGGAGACTAATGAAGAAACTCACAGAAAAGTAAATTTAGTTCTTTTCTATGTCATAACGCAATATATTGCAAACGAGATTACAAATCTGTCCTTTAATCTTTTAATCACATGATTCAAGTTTATTAATTCAAGTTATTATTCTTTACTGACAGTCGCCAGTTGGTTTAGACTGCAGCGCCTGCTAGGTAACATGCAAACATAAATAAAATAATGTGCCAAGTGCGCATATTACGTTCTTACATTTGCTCATATTACGATCTTACATTTGCTCATATTACGATCTTACATTCGCGCATATTACTTTCATACATTTGCGCTCGACGATGAGTTGCGAGTTCGTACCCGCTGGACATTTCAAGAAGCTGGAAAAAATGTTTCTCTGCACCTATTTTGTCTCCCATAAGAGAGAGGAAAATATTTCTGGGAGTTCTTCGTGTAAGCAACCTTAATTAGAATTGAAAATGAAAACTTAAAGTTGAAGTGATTAGAGTGTTAAAGAAATTAAACTGAAAATTCTCAGAAATGTTTCTTTCACGCAGTTGAGGGTAGCAAACAGATCTAATAGCAGTTTAAGAGAAATTCTCTTAAGGCCCGTCTATACGGAGCGATTTTCTCTGCCGACTTTCTCGTAGAGCAACAATTTTAAGGATCTGCGTATGCGCCAAAAATTGGTCATGTTCTCTGCCGCGATTTCAGAACTGGTGTTCACTGCTCACTAGCGTACCAAGGATCAAGGATCAAGGAAGTGCAATTTACGGAGTTCATAGGCAATTACACCTTTACCTCCACATCTTCAAAGGAAGTTACATCATCAAAAAGAGGGGATTGTCTAATAGGGTAAAAATTTTGAGAAGCCGAATGACTTGGAATAAGTGCCTTCACACTGAGACAAAAAAGGCAAAAAAGTCAGAAGGTCTTAATTTTGTGCCGAAAAGGGGCCAGAATAATTTAGATAGGGGCAGTCATTAAAAAAATTTTGACTAGATAAATAAAAGATGAAGTTTCCTTGAACCTTGATAATCGTGTTTTGCATACGTCAGAAGCGAAGAATACGCAGGGGAAAGCAATCTTTTTCCGATGCACTTTCTTCAGGGGTAGGAGGGAGGGGGGAACCTGGTTACAGGTCGAAAAAGTAGTTCTGCTTGTGATCAGCTAGGAGGGAGAAGTTTCGTTTTTGACCGCTATTCAATGCGGTATTTAGAGGCCGAAAATGACGTTGTTAAACGCCTGAGAAAGTTCCTTTTTAAAGGAAGAAAAGAGCTGTGTTTAAAAATCTTTTTCAGTTTAAGGCATTTCAAAAGTTAAAATAATTTAATTCAGTCCTTTTAGACTGTGATGTTTCTTATTAAAGAAACGTTAAAGTGGGTTCCTTAGGTTAATGCTGTGTGCATTAACTCTTTCGCATCGAGAGACGACCAAATCTGTTTTCAACAAACATCCAAAACGCCCGTGTTTACGAATTTGTCTTGGAATAGTTTTCCTTTCCCCCTGCGGTTTCATCCATTGTGTTCGGTTTCACCGTAGGGCCGGATTGCACCTGCGAACGTCAATAGCTTTCCGTATTTCTCCTTTATTTGCTTCAAAAGAATGATTGACATGTCTTTTAACAACTCACGAAACCAATGAGCCATACACTAACGTGGAGGGGAAAGAACAAGGTAGAAAATAAACGAGGCGTTGGGGCGGTTTGCCGTTGCCTGAATGAACGGGCGTTACAGGCGACTTCGATGCGAAAGAGTTAAAGAACTTTAGAGGCGGGGCGGGATTAAGGAACGAGAGGTAGTTATTCACATGGCCGTTAGTGTGCTCATACTGTTGGTTATTTAAGATTGGCATATATATATCATTCTCAAAAGAATTATCCACTTCTAAAAAAAATACATTATGGCAATATACAAAAAGAAAACTTTATTAAAGAAAATCAGACATAAGAAATCTTACCACATTCTACCAAAAGATAATAATAAAAAACTCTCTCTTCAAGATACATGTTTAACTCATTCTTTTTACAATTTTATATCAATGTTGCCAAAATATTAAAACTTAAAATTATGCTTTATAAACAAATACTATCAATTCCCCCCCTTATTTGTATTTAAAAGATATAATTTTAATCAGTCAGTCATGTCCATACTTTAATAGTTCATCTTTTAATTTCACCCTAAGTAGATACTTTGTTAAAATATCCGCTTCTTGATTTTGTGAACACACAAACTGAGGAATGATTTGATTCATTTCATATTCATCCTTACACAAGAAAGAAATATTTTCTATTAATGTGCCTTGAACTGCTACTTTGTTTTGGTTTTTTAATCCAATCTATTAATGCTTGACAGTCTGTTTTAATTCCTATTGGCTTGTCAATTAGATCATCTTAACCCAATTCTTCAAGTAAAAAGATGTACCATTTAACTTCACATGCACATTCGCAGAATGCTAAAAGTTCAGCTTCCATTGTAAATAGAGCAACTATTCTTTGTTTGTTGCACTTCCAATTTATGAAATTTTTGCCTAATTTAATGAAAAAACCTCCAAATGATTTTCCATCTTCAGTGGTACACCAACTTGCATCTGATGTAGCATTTAATTTCCCATTGTCTGAAGTATACACTAAACAAGTATTTTGCGTTTAATATATCTAAATATCCTCTTACAGCTTTCCAGTGTTTCTCTCTGGGATCTTGATTATATCTTGACAAATTACTTACTGCAAAAAGCTAAGTCTGGCCTTGTGCCTGTTGCTAAGTACATCAATGAACCTAATGCTTCTTGATATTTTGTCTTCGACACAGGTGGTGAAGATGCTATGTCATCAAGATTTTCACCTAATATTCCTGGAGTCTTGATAGGTTTACATTCACCCTTTCAAAGTTTTTCAAGATTTTAGTTATATAGTTTCTTGACTGGTATAAGTTTTCCAGATTTTGCCGGATGTCTATTCCTAAAAATTTTTGTGCTTGAGTGACTTCTCGTAATGTCAACGATTTAGATAGGTTGAGAGATGATGTCATTTATCTCAGAATTTGAATTTCCAATCACCATTAAGTATCCACATATACTGCTATGATAAAATATTTGATCTTATCTTTATAAATATAAACACACGGATCTGACTTTAGTCTAGTTAAATTCTTTTCTTTAAGAACTTTACATAATTCATCATACCAGCATTTTCCTGATTGTGGTAATCCATATATACTTTTGTTTACAAGATATACTTTGTTCGGATCTGATATAAAGCCAGGTGGTTGTTCCATGTAAATTGGTTTATCCAAGTATCCATTTAAATATGCAGTTTTTGCATCGAAAAATCTTATTTTGTAGTTTTTGTAAACTGTAATCGATAGTAATGTTCTAAAGGTTGCAAGTCTCATTACTGGGCTAAATCCATCTTCATAATCAATTCATTTTCTTTGATTAAATCCGGTCGCTACTACTCTTGCTTTGTAAATTGTTTCTAATTTACACTTTTCATCCCTTTTTGAGAATATCCAGCGGTTTTTAATAACTTTCTTATCGATGGGTCTTTCAACTAATTCCCAGACTTCATTAGCCTCGATTGAAACTCAATTCTTCTGTCATTGCTTGTAGCCAGAATTCAATTTGAGCAGAGTTCTATAGCTTCATCATACGTCTTAGGTAATCCTTCATTTGTATTGTATACTATATAATCTTTTAATTTTTCTGCGGGGCTTCGTAATTCGCGCTAGTCTTTTTCTGTAAAGGATTTCCACGATCATAATTTCCAGGTTCTGCATTTATTTGCAGATACTTGGTTGGCTTTTCCAATGAATTGTTATCATCGTGTTCATCATCACTATTGGATGGCAAAATTTTCTCATTTCTTCATCTGTTGTATTATCTTCTCTATAGTATCTGTTGGTTATTTCTGAATTATTTACACTTTCATTAGTTTGTTCCTTATAAAAAATAATAAGTTCTTCTAATATTTGGTTTTTATCGAAATTTAAATAATTTTCTTTTAGTAAAGTGATCCAAGTTTCTGTTCATCAAATTTTACATCTCTCACTTCTTGAAATTTATTTAGTTCAGGGATATAAATTTTGTATGCTTTTCTCTTCATGCTTTAGCCTATCATAATTCCTTTTTTAGCTTTTAGATCCATCTCTTTACGTTTTTCTCGTCTTATATGAACATATGTTCAATCCAAATCTTTTAAGATAAGTAATTTTAGGCTTGCGTCCTTTATAGTTCATATGTTGTAAACCTTTTATCATTTTTGTGATCCTGTTATTCATATGTACAGTACTTAACGCTTTCAGACCAAAATTCGGTAATTCGCATCAATTAACAGTTCTAGATTCCAATTATAGTGCGATTAAAAAGTTCAGATTTCCATTATTTCCGGAGTATAAGGGGTTGTAAGTTCATGTTAATTCCCATTTTTTCAAAAAATTCTTATATTTTTAGCTAAAAACTCACTACATTATCACTACGAATTCTTTAGTTTCCTTCCTGTTTGTCTTTCTTCTGAATGATAAGTTTGATTAGAGCTTCTGAAGTTTCATTTCTTCTCAATTGTTA